ACATTTATTAAACAGCACATAATTTTCATGTCAAGCTTATATAACAAGTTGCTCAAATGATGCATCCAGACACAAACACTTAAAAGGGACCATCTAAATCCATCTCGGGCAATCACATTTATTTTCCTATGCAGCTGAAAGAGTAGCCAAGCAAGATAATTTATTTTGTTGATAGTCAGTGAGATAGCTCCACCATGAGTAACTTGAAGTGACCAACAGTATTCTCCAAATTCTATAATGCGATTTATTTAGTCAATAGAACAGTTCACTCATTTGTCTTACCATATTGGTCAATGTCGTTGCCCAGGCTAACTGAATTTAAAGCCAAGCACAGTTGTTCTTGAGAAGATGGAGAGATGACCTGCAGAGTTAAGCATTTACTTTAAAGTGATTCCAATAAGTAAATGTAAAACTGAATAATCACCAAAACAACATTTCTGACCTTCCGTGTTGATAGGAGCCTTTCTGGAGTTTGATGGAGCTCTGGCGTTAAGAGTGTCTCATCAACATCGCAGGTTTGGTCCTTTAAGGATGACTTTCTTTCTCCAACAGTACTTAGAGCTGTTGAAGTTTGTCTTTCCTTAGAAATTGATAACTCATCCTCCAGATAATTCCTGGAGATTGAGCGATTTCTTGGTATGATAGATGTTAATGGTTGTTCCTTATCAGATATGATATCTTTCATGGAAACTATGTGGTCATTTGCCTTGAAGGAAACATTGGGTTTCCAAGATGAACCACGGTGCTCTTCAGGATTATCTTGCTTGTATGGCAGATCTTCTTTAGCTTTATCCCCAAACAGCTGAACATCGACTTCCTGATGAAGTTCAATGCAGCCAACATCATTGTCAACTGTAATGTCGGCAACTTGAACTCTAGAAGTCATGATCATTTTCCCTGGTATCTCTTCAATATTAGAACAACTTTGGGAGTGACTACACAGATCTGAACTTTGATCCTTAGTAGACGAAATTCCACAAGAAAGGTCATGCTCTATGATGTCCCAGGTTTCATTTTCTGAAGGAGACAGGACCAAAAACTCTTGGAAATTCATTTCTGATTTATCTAACATCACACCCATTTCATCAGTTGTTGTGAGCATAGAGAGAGGCTCAACGTGCTCCAAATGCTCACAGGAAACTTCATTAGTGAAACAGTTTTTGCTTTCTTCTGCAACCCTCAGTTCACTGCTTTCATGCTCAACCATTCTCAAGGTTTCATTTGAAGCCACAACACCATTATTTGATTCCTCTTTATGGCTAATTGGTAACTCATCAGAAAAAGTAATGCTTTGTAATCCTAGGTACTCAGGTTCAGGAACCTCAGGTTTTACAGGAAGGGATTGATGTAATTTACAAAGAATTTGCTTGGAAGCTGAGGAAACTAAATTCTTTTCCGATGTAATAGAATTTGAAGTTTCAGTAGAGGCAACCACGCTTCTTTTCATACACTTCTTTTTAGCCTTGGAAGTCTTTGAAAGCTTTGACTTCCAACTAATTATGGGTTCATCAAGATCAGATCCTTCCTCCATAAGCTTTTTAGTTCCCTCAGCTTGGTTAGAATCCTCTTTAATAAAGCTTTCAGATTTTCTTTTCTTTTTATTACACCTTTTCCTTATCTGGTTTAAAGTCACGTTGACATCCAGATCACTGCTCATTTCATCATCATAGCCTGAGGGAACCAGCTTGCCTATTTCTGGTTTTGTTTCCTGCAATATCCTATCTACCACAGATAAACAGTGGGTTTCACATTTGTCTAACACTGAATCTGTACATTTACTCTGTGCATTACTTGTAGGTGTTGCAAGGCTTCTGGTGTCTTCAGCTTCATATATATCCTTTAGACTCTTGAATACAAGAGCCGGCTTTCCGTAAGCTATATTGCGGACTTTCATTACCAAACCACTCCCTGCGGCTTGGATAAAATGTGTATTGCTACAATTCCTTGTTTCCATTGTCACAGGGAAAGTGAGAGTTTCTTCTATTATGACTTGTAATTCTGCAGCAGCATGAAATGATAGCCCAAAAATAGAAGTTGGGTACAGTTTTCAATCAAACTCAAAGGATGAAGTGCGTCACCTGCGCAAAAACTACAATGTGTCAATGCTTATTGGAGTGGAGGAAACCAAAGGAACTCAACCTCAACAAAATTACAAATTTGGAAAGGACCCTAACAACCCCAAATAATTGAAGCAAGAACCTGGTTGTATCTTACAGCTGACCAAAACTATACACTCAAAGATTTTAATGCCATAATTATGGCATGCAGGGTATAATCTGTTCAATAGATTTTTCGACTAATGACACCTGAATGTGCATTGTGCATAACAAAGCATCACAATCAACAGGAGAAATTCAAACGTTCTTGAACACCTGTGATCACCACTCATATCCATACCATAATTATCCTTGATGAGTTGCACGACAGAAATTACAGATCAGCTAAGGCTTAAAAGTAGAACTAGATGCTGCGTTAATAATAACCACATAGCAAACATTTTCTGAATTATCGGAGAAAAATATCTAATTTCATTGATTACAAAACAAATCGTTTCAGATCTAAGATGTAGAAAATATAAAATGTGAAATCAAATACTTATCTAACATTTTATTTATGTTCTCGACCACTTGTACTACCACATCACATTGCCCCGCAAATTTTATATATGCAAATAAAGGTGTAAATTTTATGTTTGATCATAGTTCTTTTCTTACATAGATACCCTAATATTAACAGAGATGTTGCGTGGATGCGAAAAATAGAACGAAAACAATCATTCAAACAAGATCCGCAGCTAAATCTTAATTACAGAGATCTTTGAGCAAATAAATCAGATCAAATGGTTATAATTGAAATGAGATTCAGAAACAGTCAATAGTAAGCAGATCTAACTATGGAGAGTAAACTGAAGCTGACCTTAAACCGAACTCTCAAGATCGTTGAGAGAGAGGGATGAAGATGAGAAAATGGGCTGAGTTAATGTGGTGAATCCGTTCTTTGCTGTATGTGTAGAAATCGCGCCAAAATCATTTGGCGGGAATTAGGGCTTTGTATTCAGGGACAATTTATGACATGGCAAATATCGAGGAGCCGCCAAGGATGGTCAAAATTATTTAAAATTTCACGTATTGGTCCTCCAATAAATAGCAACCGGTCAAATCCACTGCTAGTTTTTAAACTTCACCCCCTTGTAAATTAAAAATTTCCGGAAATTATCAATCTTTAATACTTAATGATGAATTTTCATACTTTTCTTTTAATTCGTACAAATTATGAAATATATGTTAAAATAATTTGATAGCCCAATAAACTTGCCTTCAAAAAATACAATGAAAAATGCAGTAGAACAAATTTGTTCATCTAAAAGAAAATGATAAACAAGATGATTGATCCAAAATGTACACTAAACGATCTTAACCCAAACCTTGTTACCTCGATAGAGATCGATTGCCCTTTTAGCCATTGTTTAGTGTAGTTTTTAAAATGAATGAGGTTACTTAGCTGACATTCATTTTAAACAATCATTTCAACTCATATTACAGAGTATAATTGTAACAATCAAGTCTCGTGCCCAAAATTTTATACTATGTATAGTGTTCGCTTTAAGAGGATATATGTCCTCTTATCCCCATAGAGCTCTTTGTCATTCCTTTAGAATTCAAATCTAGCATTTGTTTGAGTTACATTCTTATCATAAGAATGAACTTGAAACGGTGTATTGGTGGTTAAAAAATAAGGAAAAATTTGAATTTGTTTGTAATATTATTTTATTGTAGAATGTGTGATTGAAATAATGTCAAAACACTATTTAAAATTATATTTTCTTCAAAGAATGAGAATCAAACATGGGCCTACTACTTCTCAGATATTTAAATTGAATTTTGGTAGCATTTTGGAACTTGTTCAATTAATACTAGTATTCAACTTAAGTCTATCAACGAGTAGAGCACTTTTTTTGTAACTTGGATCTGTTGCCCAAATCGATATATTATTCATACCAAATTGACATATACCATTGCAAAATGGACATCACTCAAGATATAACTGCTTTAACATGAATCTCGAATCGTTACAATATGATGAAATATAAAAATAAATGAAAGAAAGAGAAGCACGAAGTAATGCATGGCATTCACACGTAACAGTATTTACTTTTTGAATAATTAATTTAATAACACAAAAATAGAATTTCCATGCACAAGAAAAATTATCCCCCTTAATTAATTGGATAAAATCACCGTAATTTTTCATTTTCATTATCTTGTTAACTTTTGATATACGAATTTTACATTCAAAAGTCTAAGTGCGGAATGATTTAAGCATTCTCGAGTCATCCAAAAAATAGACATGACACAGCTCTCGAGAGATAAATAGACTACTCGATTTGGTCTGTCAGTAATATTTAGCCCATGTATGGAGTTGATTTCTTAAGAAATGATTTGTGAAATGTGATTTTTTTGGGAATGCGTGAGAAAAGTAGAAAAAAATTACGAAAAAAATGTGAAAAATAATTTTTATTTTTGAAGAATAGATAATTTATAATGAGTGAGGGTAAAAACTAAAAAGTGATTTTGAAAATTCATTTCAAACGAGGGCTTAATTTTGTAAAATCCAGGACATGTTTGGGAGCGATTTTATCACCAAAAAAATTAATTTTTTAACCGTTATTTCACTATTTCAATCGTCATATTTGACTTTTTCTCTCACATGTGGACACTACTTTTCTTCTAATGATCAAAAAATTAATTCTCAAAATACTCCCAAACAGGCTCCCAGTATAATACTTGTGAACGGCATAGACATTCCGACACCCAAAATTTCCCGGCTTTTGAAAAGACTATTCCGCTATTTCCTCGATATTTGAACTGTTTCCCGCCTAAACCCTCCCATATCATTATACCCAAATCGATTGCGCAGATCTACACTCCAAGCCCCAGCACCAACACCACAGCTAAGCTAATTCTTCATTTCTCGCCCTAGTCACCGTCAAAGGTACGAAAATGGACAGTGACGACGATTACCAGTCATTTTTACCTCCAAAGGAATCGTCGCCGAAAGTCCAGTATCAGAGGCTCAAACGACTGAAGAAATCAAATTCCGAGCCACCAAAAGAATCCTGGAAACTATCAATTAACGATCCACTTCTGTTCCCCCAAGTTGATTATGCGAAATTGGAAGCTTTGGAAAATGGTTCTGAAACCCTAGACTTCAATGATTCTATTTTGAATCAAGAACCATTTATGTCGCAGGAATCTCAGTCGGAGGGGTTTGATGACGAGAAGGAGAATGAACTAGAGAATCAGAAACAGAAGGAAGTGAATTCTGTGGTTAACAAAACTAAGAGGGCTTTGCAGTTTGATGATGGCGTGGCTGTAGGGTTTGAGAAGGAGAATGGATTAGAGAATCCGAAAGAGAAGGAAGTGAATTTTGGGATTGGTGCGGAGGTTAACAAAACTAAGAGGGGTTTGGAGTTTGACGACAACGTGGCTGTCGTGTTTGATGGATATGAAGGTGGGATTGGAAGGAATGTTGATTTAGGTTTGGATAGTTTTGAGAGGAAACGGAGCTGTGAAGGTGATTTAGATGAGATAAAAGAGGACAAGAAGAAAAAGAAAAAGAAAGTGAAGAGTGATAATACTAATGAGTCTGTATCCAAATTGCCAGTTTCAAACAAAAGGAGGGAAGAAAAGGTCTGATTTTCATTCGTTATTTGCTCGCACAGCGTCTGTTTGTTGATCTCAAGTGTAGTTGCAACCACTCACCTAATTGTTGTGAAGGGCTTCTTTTTTTTCTTTTTTTCTTTTTTTTTGCAGTGTAGTTATAGTAATTTGAATATTATCGTGATTGAAACTGTTGTTTCATGGATTTACAGGAAAGAAAGGTTTATCTTCAGCAACTTCACGCAGAATCTCAAAAGCTACTACGAGGTTTCCACTAACTCTAGTAGATTTGAGTTCATCCATATCTTTCATCTTATTTTGGTGTTATTTATGATGTGCATTTTCTTATTTTTTGAAATGTTTTGTTATGGTTAGACACTAGAGATGCTGCATTTGAACCGATACCAGTTGTTCAAAAACCCATATCATCTGTATTAGAGAAAATCCGGAAGCGGAAGCTTGAAATCTCGCTAAGGTAGGGAGATCACATTCTCGCATTTTTCTATGTTTAAGCTTTAAAAGAGTAATGCTATGCTTATCATTGGCTTCTGCCAACACATTAGCAACTATGATGTGGCAGACACTTTGTTGAGGGTCTAAAATCACATTGGTCTGAGTGCATCAAACTCCACATAACCAACTATTGCCATGCCAGTTGATATACTTTTTGGCTAGAAACATTTATCCAATGAAATTTTTTTGTTATTGTTGGCGTGGCATTAACTTAACATATTATCTGATGGGTAGCAGAACTGGGATGCTAAATCACAAGAATTATGCTACTGAGGACAATGGCAGTCAAAGGGACAAAATGATGGAAGTTGATTTGGTTAACACTGACAGTGAAAAGAGAGGAGCAGAAAACATAGCGAAAAATGTGGAAAATGAGGCACCTGCATGTTCTGTGGATGTAGAGAGTGGTCCAAATACTTTAAGAATGGATAGATCTGAAGATCTTGCAAGAAAGACAAGCCATGAAAATGTCCCCACTCAAGTAGCAAGTGAGGTGATGTTACGTATTATATATCCTCAAAGTGTTGTATCGTTGAACTGCTTCTATTTGTGCAATTGATCTATCAAAAATCTAGTAGATTTAATAGTTCATTAATGGCCATGACTTACATTTAACTTATATAATAATGTAGATTGGTGAATGAAATGAAAGGGCTTGGAAATTTTGTTAGTTTATGTTGTCTGAATCACGACAATAATCTACACTTACATTTTCATAAATTTATTTTTAATTAAGTGTTGCCTGCTATCACATTGCTGCAGGCTTTGAACGAACTGCCTACACCTGCATTTCGAGCTCCAGTTGATGATACTCAGGTTATCTTCACAGCTTTACTATTCTAAGGAAGCTGCAAATTATGCTTTTGTTTTTGCACATAAAGGTTAAAAGTTTACCCTTATACTAATTGTAGGATCTTTTTGATGACTCCCAACCAACTATTAATATAGTTGAGAAGCCTGATGAACTACAGGATAGTCCTTTGGAAGAAGATTTTGCTCCATCTTTATTAGCTATGAATTTGAAGTTTGATTCTGCTCCTGTTGATGACAGGTGAGTGGGTGGGTTTTGGGACCTTTTTTTGCGTTGCGGGTTTCTGACATTTTCTTTTTATACTTTGGGTTTGATAAACTATCTATCACTGGGTTTGATTTGTGTATGTAACTGTCTCTTTGCTTCAATGCAGTAGTTGCAGTCAAACTTAATTCTTTGTTAGTATTTAAACATTGTGATGCTTGTTTTAGAACCCAAAACTGAATTTTGCTATAAAATATAAAGTTCTCAACATTTTATCTTTACAGATTTTCAGATGAAGAGGACAGTGAGAAAGAGAATATTTATCCTCATCCTTGTGGAGTTGCCGATGGCAGCTCTTCTCCAAAAGGAGATCCTGTGAAAGATTTTGTTGATGATGAAGCTGAGGAAGAAGATGATAGCGACAATGACCTGATTCGATCTGAAGGAAAGGAAGATGAAGATATGGATGGTTTTGAGGAACTTGATGACATGATAGCAACTGAGTTTGAAGAAAGAACTATTGACAATG